ATATACTGCTCTGCTAATACTCAATGTTACATAATGTTTCAAGTAACCACTCTACTTTGTAAATATTCTCTGTTAGCATTTCCAACTCCTGCTTTTTGTGTGCAACTTTTGTACATGCACAGTGTTGTGAATAATAATCCACCGAGACACATCTCCAACCTTTATTGTAGAAAAATGTCCTCAAAAATATAAATTAACTTTATTTCTTTATAAAATAAAAAATAAATAAATGTGACTACACAAACTGTCTCTTGATGTTCTTCAAGTAACTTGTTGCTCTTCCACAAATTCATTTAAGATGGAGTCCACCTCACTAACAAAAAACAAACAAACAAAACAACAACAACATAAAAAAAAAATCATTCTTTTTCTGGCAATCGACTCTATTTACATGACTGTCAATTGATTCCAATAGATTATAAGAAAAAATTAATGCTAGAAATATAAACAGGAAAGGATTCTAATCATTACAGTAATGGTGATAATCTAATTCAGTTTTACCTGATCTGCTCCTTCACCCATTTTCTCTGTTTGCGAAGAACTTGTAACAGAGGATCATCTCCAAACTCTTTTTCATCTGAATCTAAAACAAAAAGTTTAATCTGAGTGAGAGGACAGATACTACAATATTATAAGCTTATCCTTAAAAAAGGAATGAGATAACAGGTTTTTTTCTATGTTAATTCCCATAACACACACAAAAAAAAAAAACAACACCAACAAAAAAAACTGTTGTAGGGTTTTTGAACTAAAAAGTTAAAATATGGGAAAAAGCATCTATTTATGTAATCACCGCAGCTGTTTACGGGCTAAAGATTGGTGCCTTTTGCCACCATAAGCTTACCTTCGGCCTCTTGCAGCAGCTGTGAAATGACCTCCATAGAGTTCAGGGCATTGCTTGGAGGAATTGGCGGTGGTGAAGGTGCAGAGACGGTGCAGGAAGGAGAATCAGATGAAACAGGAATCTTTTTTGGAGAAGAGGAATCCACCGTAGGAAACAGTACCTCTGAAACTACCTGTTAAGGTCAAATGAAAACACCCCAGTTAATGCATATTAATTACCTTGATCACATTGAACCTTATGACTAGTGTGGCTTCTAAAAAAGATGTGCGGACATGCATAGTGAAGGTAGACCTGTAATTATATTCAATAAAAACTTGTGTGTATTTTATTTAAATACTTCATATACAGTCTTCTAAAGACCAGATCTGTCAGTGGCCTTTACAAATGATTAATTAAGATTTGTAAACAATCATAAATTGCCAAAGTCTGAGAACAAACAGACAGCTTTCTTTCACTTTATCAAATATACTGCAGAGATGTCACAAATGTGGGAGAAGAGAAAAACCAGAAAAGACCAAATATGCACACAGCCTCTGTGGCTTCAAATAAAGAAATAACACTGAACATTTGCATGTTTACCTGTCCTAATGCATTGCGGATAGGAGATGGTGGTGGTTCATGATCACCAGCACAGCTTTCACTGGGAAGCTCCTGTCTTCTCTCTGGTTGCTGCTGCTCTTTACATGATGTGACCTTTTTGGGAAGCTTTTGATGTAATGAATTCCTGTTTGTGAAGAATAAATCCCACAAAATGTTAACGGTATCAAACACATATTTTTTTATCACTAAGACTTTTAAACAGTGCCCATATTTCAATAATTCACCTTGCTGATTTCTTTTGCTGTCTAGTGAGTGCTGCTTCCTCCTTCCCATTTACCTCTGATTGCTTCATCCCCATTTTCTTTTTCTTGTTCTTCTCAGACATTTTTTGGTGATCAGGCCACTCTCTCTCAGATGGCGCAGGTAGAGTGAGTGACACGCGTTCACAAAGAGTTAATTCTCCAAGGCTTTCGGGGACTTGGGTCTTTTTGTGAAGAACTTTGGTTTGTGACTCGTCTAACCTTTGTGAAATGCTCTGGTGCACTTTGGCATGAGATGACTGGATGGGACATGGCAAGACGTCACAGAGAAAATGCATGTGGGAAGGAACATGGGCAATGCTCTGCAGCTGAGGGACTGAACCAGAAACATTGATGGTGGGGAATAGCGAAGGGCCTGGAGCTGGGGGACAGAACCTCTGGGCCTCAGTGGTTTCTGGCTGGGCATCAGTGATGTGTGAATGAGTATCTCTTTGTGAGAATTGAGGGGGTTGGGTACCCTGCTGTTCCTGAAGAGCAAATTAATGTTATTCTGTAAATTTGTGCAAAGAATATGGATAATGTAACAAACAGTTTGATTCCAACCTTGTAAGCTTGTTCACTGATGGAGGGATAGCTTAACCTCATGGACTGCCAACCAAATGCATGAGGACTGGAGGCTTGCACAGACAGGGGCCTCTCTCTGGCTTGTTCCATTTTCCTCCTTAAACGCCACTGGAACAATATGTCTTCCTCTGGACGGGTAGGAGGCACCAAAGAAGGCATGACAGATTTTTGGAAGGACACACCATGAGCTGAGTCTGAGCTGGCCTTTGCTGTAAATGTTAACACACAGTTTAAAACACAGCAGCACGCAAAATAGAATCTGTCTATAAATAACAAAAGGTATTCTAGTCCACACTCTTCCCCTACCAGTAGTATTTTTGAATAAACTGGGAATCAAAGGTTGCTTCACTGGCTCATCTATACTGATGGGAGAGGAGAAATCTGAGCATCCCAGCCCCTCTGAGCTGACAGGGACAGATCCATCACTCACAGAACATTCACTGTTAGAAAAAAAAAAGTTACTACAACTGAAGCCATTTATCTTTAATATTGCTCAACAGTTTTTATACCCCCTCAGAAGAAGTCTGCTGGCCTTTTCTTGAAGGTGCAGGATCTCCCTGTCATCAAATTCACCCTGTGATGTGTCGGACAAAAGCTGGGAAACAAAAAACATGTTTTTTCATATAAAGACTTGCAATACCGTGTAAATAAATCCTCCCAAATAAATAAACACGTTTGCAGGATTTTAATTAAAAGGGTAATGCATTTGTTCTTAGCAGGCTGAACAACGTGTCAAATCTGGTTGCATAAACGGCGACTTCCCAGGCATTTAATAAACACATAGACTTCCAAATGGAGTGTGGTGCTGAAATGGAAATGTTTATATGCAAACTTAGTCGAAATAAAGTGTTGCTTCTGCAGACAATCAGAATCCCAGGCACTTTGGACATGTGTGGTGTAAATCAAGGGACAATGTAAACCCTATAATCCACTGTGACAGCATACACAAACAATAAAAACTGAATAATTGGTGGTGCCTTTCCCCCCATCTTATGGATCTGGTTTTTTTTTTCCAAGAAACAGAAGCAGATTTGCTACAAAAATTGATACATTATGGCTTATTTCTTCTTAGCTTATAAATACAACTCACACTATTGGATCCTCTGTAGGGAGAAGGGGATCTGTTATGGTCACGCCGTGCAGATGGATCATAAAGAGCAGCATCCTGGTCCTCTTTCAGAAGTTGGATAACATCTTTTCAGAGAAATACAGTACACAGAAGGATTCGATAGAATTAAGCAGCTGGTAACGGGGAATAAAATACACCAATGACTGTAAATATAGTGCACCTTCTTCTGTTGTTTTAGTTGGTGTTGAACTGCTGAGAGATGAATGTGACATCCACCAAAAAGGTGCCTGCTCTTCTCCACTGGCAGAGGCCACCTGATGGCGCTCCTCTCGACTCTGTGGCTGACCATGGCGAAAACGCTCTACATATCTGACAAAGCAAAGGTCAGATTTAGTTAAAAGAAGTCACATGCAAAATGAAATAAAAATAATCTGGGTCACTATGACATTGTCATCTAATCATGAAAAATTGTCACTGTGAAACTATTTTTTAGTTCTGTTTAAGAAAATTACAGAAGGCATTAAAACATACTTTGCCAGCAAAGAATCCTCCTGGCATCCTTGAACTTGGGAAACACTGGAATTCCCCCTTTTTCCAGATTTTTTGGGTTCGTCCATGTCAGATAAGGCAGTATTTCTATCAGGAGAGAATTCAAAGACAGTGGAGGCCTGGGACTCTTTAAGAACAGGTTGTCCATCAATGGAGGAAAAACGGTCATGCTTCTTAGACAGCTGCTGGCTCTCTTGGTTTAGATTATGTAACTTTGTTCTGGATTGCTGGTTTAAACGTACAGGACTTAGTGTCTGCAAGAAGAACAAAAAGGATAGATAGATAGATAGATAGATAGATAGATAGATAGATAGATAGATATCACAATGAGAATCTGTTTTTCTTGCAGTATATTAACTGTTTTTGAAAATAAAACATACAGTTTTTTTCTCTTTCTTTGAAAGGGGTTGGTTGCTGGATGGGTGGTAGTGTGCCGTCCTCACTTTCGGTGCTGGTGGGAAGGGATTCTGCTTTGTGAGCACAGGTCCACTGTAAGAAGAACACATATTACCAACTATAACTTCTTCTGTTTAGGGTGCTACAAAATGTGTCATTAGATCCTCACCTGGAATTCATAGCAACCTTTGGAGGTGACCGATGAGACATCAACGACCACAAGAAAGCACACACAGTTTCAACGTGGGCTTGGTTTACCTCGGGCACCCCAAATCATATCTGGACTGAGGTGTTAATCTGAGTGGGTTACTTAGCTAACAAAAAGACGATGCCCCCATTACTGAACTCTTCCGAGTTTACTTGTCTACACACAAAGTTACTTCAAATGCCAGAAATTCCCTTTAAGAATATAAATTACGCTTCTCCGTTAGGCTCTATGAACATCTATTTATCATTCAAATTTCACGTTCTGACTAAAAACATAGTAACTTCGCGTTTATTTTACAAACCCACCACATTCTCGATGAAAGTGGAAGAGAGCTTTTGTTGTGTATCCCGAACGTTATTTACTACACGACATACAGCCAATAGGGAACGAATTAAAAATGATTGATATAACATTTGACCAATCATATAGGCGGCCCGGTTTGCACAGGCACCAATCAGCTAATAGGAAATTGGCAGCGCGCGGAAGAGGAAAGTCTAGTAAGGGTATGCGTTTGTCAAAAATAAGCTAAGTTAGCAACAGTAGTTTGGCCATTACTCCACAAACCTTGGTATAAATCATAAACGACTATTGTGCTGTATCTTTCTATTAACTATATGGAAGTCGATAGGGATAACCGTTATTTGCTTAATGGTTTTAATAGCTAAACGTAAATAACGTTATATAGCTTAACTGTTAACCAGTGGTTACGGCTAATGCAGCTAACTGTTTGTAAACGGTACTACACAGCTAGCTTGGCTAACGGCGCCGTTAGCAAGGAATCAAACATAATTTATTGTAAATCTAAATAATCGAAACAGCAAAAGTGTGGTTTTAAAAGTCCGTCAGTTCCCACGGGGTGTTTATAGAAAGGCGGACACAATGCAACACGTCAAGATCAAGACGGAAAGGCCAGGTACCAGCAACTGTCAATATTTCCTTTCCTTTTCCGTTTCAGATTTTCCAAATTTTTGTGTGGTATAAATTCTTGTGATTGTTTTGGAGTACATTCGCTTGTAAGCTTGAGTGGTTCGGATTATACAGGATTATACAGGATTCTTAAAAGCTAAGTAATACAGGTGGCGAGTGTCACCTAAAGTGAGTATTGTTGTTGTCATTAATTATTTCATTATTACTTTTGCAGACTTAGACGGGGCTGGTGCACGCAGCAAATTAGAAGCGGTCTTAAAGGGACTGGTAGAGAAGAGTGAAAATGAAAGGTTAGCAAAATTAATTGTTTAGCATATAATTATTACAGAATCGATTTATTCTTAATAACAAAACTAATATAAAGATGTTTTCAGCAGAGAACAAAATGAAGGTGACCCAGGAAAATTGTCAGCAGACTCTTTGAACAAGTATGGACCAGTGATTTTGGTTTTATTTAGTTTTTAATGATCTGCTAATATAATATTTTACAATTGGGTGTGCTGATTCAATGATTTTATTTAAACATTTATTTTTTAATTGCAATTTATGCATATTCCACCTGTTGTCTCTAGGGATTTATCGCCAACATCGGCTGGAAAAAGGCAAGTGTTTATGTTTTAATTAAACTCGACTTGTCAGTAACTTTTTTCTATTTAGTAAGTAAAATTTTATTTATATAGCACCTTCCAAAACAAAGATCACAAAGTGCTTCACAAAGAAATACCAGGGCATTCAAAACAGGGTATATTTAGACTTTTTTTTTATCTGTCTGTCTGGAAATGAAAATATAATTTTACGTAAATTGTATGAGAAATTACTTTGAATCTCTTTTAAGCTCCAAAAATATATTTCTTAAAAAAACATTTCTTTTGCAGACCGTCGGCTCGATTTCCACAGCACCGGAGAAAGAAGCGAAAAGAGATGGATGAGAGCATTCCAGAAAGCAATCAGCATAAGCAAAGTAAATGAATGAAAAATTATTGGAATTTTTCTTTGATGTACCTTGGTTACTGTGTAACCATCTTGTCTGTTGCACTTGTGACCATTTTCTTACCTTTAATTAATTTCTCTCTTGTTCTGCCTTTACTAGATGCTTACGTTATTAAGTTGTTTGACCGCAGTGTAGATCTGGCTCAGTTCAACACCGCCACCCCACTGTATCCTATCTGCCGTGCATGGATGAGGAATAATCCTTCTGTTCGAGAACCAGCTGCTTCCCCCAGCTCCCCACAGGGCATGGTAGAGGAAGAGGTGGGGTCATAAATGGACAAGATGCTGGAGGTTTTATTCAAATGTGCAACCAACAAATGCACAAAAAAACACAGGGGCACATTGATTTAAATTTAAACTTATCTCTTACATCTACGGTAACTTAAAATGAGGTCTTTTAAATTTTGCTAATGTGGAACTTTGCAGGGTAGAGTGTAAGGGCCCTTTCTCATAGGATGTGGCACGCGCAGCTCTGCGCTCTTAACCCAAGGTCTAATGTAATTAAATTAATTGTTTTCAAAGTAACTGCAGTACGCTGTGTGCCAAACTATTGTCTCCTTTTGTTTTCCCTAGTGCAAATGTAACTGACTTGTTACACATGTTTTAATCAACGTTATCTGAATAAGACATAATGAAACTGTTTTTAATGGATGATCCCTACAGTGACAATATTTTTGAGTGAGGTTGTTTGTGAGACGAAATGGTGCATAAAATGTATTTGAAACCTGATTGAATCTGATTGTGTACTCGTACTTTTGTTTTAGTCAATGCCTCCCCAAAAACAAAATGGCATGTTATGGCATCAATAAGTATTGTTATTGGAAATAAGGGTTTAGCAGTAATCTTTTTTTTTTTTTGCCCTAGGTTACAGACACAATCAACGGTAAAGGTCAGAATGTGTACCGACTTCCTCCTCCGACCGCCTGTCCAGTCAACTCCTCTGGTGAACCCACCAATCTCAGGATCCCGCCTACTGAAAAACCAACTGTTACCAAGGTTCTTGTATAATATGCCTTTCACCAAAGTTATTATTGCATTGTGATTTGTTTAATTTTACAGATCTGTTCATACATGAAGGTCTTCAGGTAGTAAGACAAAACCATGAATTTTAACTACCTCTCTTTTCACAGTTGACAGATGTTGCTGTGTCAGGTTCTCTCATATGTGACCACATGGAACGTTGGAAAAAGATAAGGCAAAAGTATGTTTTTCTTGAAAAGTCATTTATGACAAAAAATAATATGTTCTTGGTTTGAAATGATTTAGTCACACACTGTAAACAACTAACTTTGTTCAAGGCTTCACCTCTGGACGTACTTATTCAGATGTTATTAATTTCACCAACTCTTTAGGGAGAAAGGGGTGTAACACTAATGACCAGGTACAAATGAGTGAAGGCAAACGTCAAATCTTTTAATGGATAATGAAAAGTTTTTACAGTGTGATTTACCACAAGAGGACAGCAACAGGCTGAATAGAGCTAACAAAGAAATGAATAAATGAGGCTCTGAGCTGTTTTGACTAACTGTGGAAATCCAAATTATAAGATTAATAGATTATGTAATACATGTTTAAAATAATAAATTAATATTTAATCGTCTAAACATAAACATAAATAGCATTTTTTTTTAAACAAAAAACTATTTTTTCCTTGTTATGTCAAGGTGTCAGCTCAGCATAGAGCTGTGTGTGGTACTGTGGTACAACCAATGTGCCTGTGAAGTAAAACTGCCTCACAAAAACAACATTTGTCAATAACAGACAGTGTAGTTATTCTATGCATTTTTTTAATATAAAGGATTTGAAGTATTCCTGAAAGACACCTATATGTTATCTGATCATATTTGGGCTCAAACAGGTGGATTTGTGAAGTTAGTCATTGCACCTTTCACAGTTTGATTTCACAGCTTGTGCAAAGCCAGCCAGTCAGCATGTTCAGTGACTCTAGAAAGTCAAAAGAAAGAAAGAAAAGATAAAACAAGGGCACAGGTTTTACAATAGACTGAGCCATGGATATTGAAATGTAAAAATATGACCTTCAATAATGCTCAGACTTAAAGTTCATCTGCCAGTGTTTACTCTGTTCAGTGTCTTTGGTGATTGACGAGCTGTCGTCTTGTGGGTATGAAGTAGTCTTTGTCATGGGACCCAAAATATAGCTTTGCAAAGTTTGATCCTCCATGAGTGCCACCTGCTGTTTAATAACTTTATTGAATTAAGAAGGGAGACTAAACAGTAAAATTTAGTATGTGCCTGTTTCATTTGGAAACAGCTGGACAAAAGGAGCGATCACAGTTGAGCAGTTGTATTAAAATTACTTCAAAAGGCTGGCTCATAAAAATTGAACATTTAGCCCACCTCTGAACTACCATTCCTCCTCCTTCTAATATTGTTATTGCTGGATGAAAACTGTGTATGTATGAATTTTCAGTTAGAAATGTTCAAAATCAGATTTTGTTATGTAGCAAGCATCATGTATGAAAGTTTTTATGAATCTTTTAAGAAGGAAAATAATATAATTTCAATTTATTTCAAGGAAAAGGTAAAAGGTGCACAATTGAACTATTTCTTTTTTCTTTTCTTTTTTTCCATAGATGGAAGGAGTGCTCCAACAAGAATCAATTAAGATACAGTGAGAGCATAAAGGTCCTTAAGGAAATGAAGGAGCTCTATGATCACTGACTGGCTACTCTGTAGCTCTCCAGTACAGAGAGGACTTTGTTGGAAAGAAGCAGTCAGTGCTTGAATACACCTGTTTCTACACAGCCTGACTCATAGAAAAGCGTGTACATTTTTTTTTTATTAATTTGTAAAAATCTAGTGTATACATCTAACTGTTTCATCAGTAGTACTTTCCAGACACAATGACTTGTAAAATCTCAAGATTAATGAAATGTGTATTAAAGTGCTTTAATATAAATCTCTTCCACTTTTAGTTTTACTTCTTTAATCTTGGCATGTGTTAACGCGCATCCTGCAGGTAATGAGGTATATATCATGACTCATTCTTTCATTTGTATTCACGTCACACTTATAATAGTCATTGATGAAGTACCAAAACCTGCTTATGTCTTAAAATTTGCATGTCATTTTGTATAGAGTAAAATACACAAGTGTGCAAAATTCTTGAGCCACTTTTCATAAACTTTATATTTCGGACTCTCTTAGGCAAGCTTTCTTGTCATTTCTTTAAGTAGTCTCCAGGTGTAGTTCTCCAGGCTTCTTGAAGAACATTCAAATCTCTACTTGGGATGTTAGTTGTCTTTTTCATCTGTTCACTGTCAAGATGATCCCACATTGCTTCAATATTGCTGAGATCTGAGTTCTGGTGAGGCCAGTTCCAATGCCAACAGTTTTTTTTCTATCCAGGTATGCTTTTACTGATACTTTTATCATGCTGAAAAATAACGCTATGAGAATTGCATGCTTTCCAGGTGATATTGCAAGGCGGATCAAAATTTCATGGCACATTTCTGCGTTCATGTTTCAGTTTTGACAAGATCGTCACGGCTACTGGTGGTAATGCAGCACCAAGCCATGGCGGGGCCTCCACTGTGTTTTCTATGCTGAGTGGCTAGAAACACTGTTGTGAGACTCTAGGCCCCCGTCCATGAATATTGACGACCATTTGAACATAAAATGTTCAAATTTGGATTCTTTACTTCGTAAGACCTGTTGTCACTGTTGTTGCTTTTCAGTCTAGTTCTTGTCTAATTTGGCATACCTCTGCCTTTTATCCCTACTTCCCTTCCTTAAGGACGGCTTCTGACAGCTACCCTTACACTAAGACCATTTCTGATGAAGTTTCAGTGAACAGTAGATGGATCAACTGAAGGGTCCAATACATCTCTCAGGTCCTGTGTCAGGTGTCCTGTGTCCTGCTCGATGTTTTCCACCAGTTTTTTAAAGACATGACTGTTCATCTTCTGCAAATAGCCTATTTACACCTGCCAATTCATTATTTTTTATTTTTACTTTTAAGGACAAATAATATCACATCTATAGTTCAGAATATCTTAGTTCAGAATATCTTGCCAGCTACAGTTCTTTTGCAAGACTTTGGCACTCACAAGCACAATTACAGGGACACCTGAGAGGGGTGAATGGGAAGAATAGCGTGTTTGTTCTGAATCAGTGTGGTGCTTTATTATTATGTGTTAAGCAGGTTAACCAGTTAACCAGGTTCAAGCACAAGGTTGCTTATAAGTGTGCTTGGTGTCAGTGCCCCTTTAGGCCAAAGGTCAATGATTGACTTTATAGTTCTGTCATCTGAGGCCTTGTCTTGTGGATACTTGGGTAATGTGACTAGCAATGGTGAACTGGATTACATGATGGTGAAGGCTGTCTGGGCAGACCTGGAAAACCTAAATGGGAAAATTTAGGAGTGTCTGGCAGATGCCCCAGTCCATAGGGTTTTTCACTCCATGTTTAAGACCTCTATTGCAGAGCCAGCAAGCAGAGGTTGTATTTATAAAGTTATTGGTGCCTGTTGTGGTGGCAACCTAAGGATGAGATGTACTGCTAGGTACTAGTGGTTTACACTGGTCAGGGTAAAGGAGGATTTCTAGGCCTGGTTGACCCTTGGATCTTCTGAAGCAGCAGATGGGTAGTGAAGGGCCAAAAGGGCTGTGGTTTCTGAATTAACAGAAGTAAAAACTTGTGTGAGTAGGTCAGGAGGACTTTCAGCTTACCTCTCAAGGAGATTCTGACAAACTGTTGGGTTAATACCACAAGAAAAAAAAGGGCTTTATTCAGGTCATGTATGGTCAGTAAGGACAGTTGCTGACAAAGACTGTGGAAAGATAACTTTAAGGAACTCCAATTCCCAATCAAGATATCCTCTATGAAGAGGGCCGAGGTTGCTGAGAAGCTCCCCAGTGGCAAGGTGCAAGGTTTGGATTGAGATTCCTCTCGGGATGTTAAAGGCTCTGTGCATTGTCGGTTCTTGAGATCACTTGTGACTTTGGTCACAAGGTGGCAGCATTGTGAAATACAGTAGTTAGAATGTGCACATTGGTCTATTCGGGGCTGGGGCATTTTTGGTCTAGGCAGCCCATCATGATTGTATTTTGTAACTTTGTAATATAGTGTGTTATTTAATTTACTTTAGTTACTGTTCTTACTGACTTGGAGCAACTGTGACCAGTGATTCCTCTGGGATTAATAAAGTACTCTGATTCTGATAGATTAAAATGAAAATTTTCCAATTTCAATTAGATTGATGAAAAGACAGTGAGGGCTTCTAGTACTACTGTTGTTGGTGCATCCCGAACAGCTAACTTCGCATAATCGGACACATTTTTCTTCATCTACTTTTAATTTTGTTTTCTTGTTTGCATTTTTACTGATACCTTTTCACTTTAAAATTTTTTTTCCATCTTTATCAACTACTTCTTCCACACTAAGTTCTGTTCTACCAGGTGTTCTACACGGATTATATATTTATTCATATTTGTGTGTGGACTGGATCATGTGCTTGGGAGTCTTCAAAAGTTACACACACATCACTGCACACATTTGTCAAGCTTAGTTTATCTTGTGGATTATATTGTACACATTCTTCTCCTTTCTTAAAGGATGGTCCAGTGTATCCCATGCTAAAGGAAGCAATCAAGAGAGCGATGAAGTTCATCCCACAGTAAAAATACATGCAATTAGTAGGGTTATGTTAATTGGTGGCTCTAAATTGCCCATAGGTGTGAATGTGAGTGCAAATGGTTTGTGTTAGCCCTGTGAAAGACTGGCCATATACCAACGGTGTACCCTGCCTCTGTGTGTTACAGTTCAGTATTGATTCTCTTGTTAGGCAAATGCTCTTTAAAACTCTTTTTTTTAGCAAAAACATTTCAATGTTTTTTATCTTTTAGTCTTAGAGTGGTAATGAAACTGACGAGTATCTTTTTATTTACAGTGTTTAAAAAGTGCAATAAGTGTTAATAAATCTATTATTACAGTTTAATGGAAAGTGTTGGGAAGTAACAGAATACATGTACCAATGTTACATATTTAAATAAAAAAATATGAGTAACTGTATTCTGCTACAGTTACCGTTTAAAAAGATTATAAGATTATAATTAGAATACAGTTACTTTGTTGAAATAAATTGATTACACAGCGGTCTTTTCTTGTTTCATATGTTAGCCTATCCCCTCTTTAATTTTGGTAATTCCACGCTTTGTTAGAAACCCAAACAAACACGCAATAAGATGCTCTAATGTAAGCGTCCTGTTAATGTTGCCGGAGTCCGTAACACAATTGACCTGGAGCCAGCACAACAAAGCCAGCAGTGCACGGGCAGGAATGCATTCTCTACTTGGAAATTCCGACACAATGTCACATTTAAGGAAGAAAGGGATGGGCGAAATCTGACTGTTCAATGCAAACTGTGTTTGCCAGCAACCAAGCTGCTCTCAGGGTCAAAAGACTCCAACTTAAAGACACATCTGGAAGCAAGTTCTTTAAAAAAACAAAAACAACATTAGTTTACTGCAACTACCTTGTTTTAGTTGTGGTAGCCACCTGGTTATGAGCCACCTCAGTATCTTCGATGTAGTATTGCTGTGTGATTTATTACTATTACTGAAGGCTACTCGGCACTGAGCTAACATTATTAGTTGGCTTTAGCTGAGGTTAGTTCATAATAGACTGCAGACTGTTAGACTTGATGGATAACTTTAACAACCTGGTAGCTGCAAATAAGCACGTGCAGTTCTGAAAGCAGACAAAAAGAAAACATATTACTGATACAGAAATAGTTTTCTACGCCCACCCTACTGTTGCTCATTTTATATTAATTAATTATATAAATTAATCTGTTACTCATATTATATTATATTATTTAAAAATCTAGTTGGTATTGGTATGACGAGTAGCCTTCAGTAATATTAATAAATCACACATCAATAGTACATTCATGTAGTTGTAAAAAGCATGATAATGTATTAAACAATACAAAATATTCAGGATGCGTTATACTCTCATTGAGTAACTTAACAGAATACGTTACAAATTACATTCTGGGGCATGTATTCTGTAATCAATAGTTTAATAAATTTTTAAAAGTAACCTTCCCAACACTGGAAATGGATGCTGATACTAATAAACATGGCCTAATAAGCTCAAACATGAAAAAGTTATGTACACAAATAGAAAACTTATTAAATGTAATCTTGAAAGTCTAAAAAAATTCACATAAAAGTCACATTGGTTTTTTAATCAATAAATTAATAATTACAACCCAAAGCTGCAGCACTTTCACATAGTTTTTCTGGTACTAAGATTGATCAGAGAAGTAGTAACTTTTCTTTCTTACACTTGAAGAGAGTACAGTGAGAGTACTCCCTGCAATAGTAAGAGCAGTTAAAAGTAAATCTGTGCTTTAACATGAAGTAACGTATTAACACAGTTCTGTGCATGAGTGCACGATTTAACTCAGTTTGATATGAAATAATGTATTTCAGTTTACATTGGCTGATGTTGAAATCTTATTCAGTGTTCGGTGTCTCCTCTGTGATCACTTTGCTTTCTGTGAAGGATTTCAAATCAGCCGTGTCCGTCCTATTTGAAGTTGCTGCAGCGTCTGACTTTTGGAAAGTCTTTAACAAAGTTAATGACATGGAGTGAGTGGACATAAATGATATGTGGTCCTCTGCCAGAGCACTCTCAAGTACAAAACATATGGACTGCCGAAGCTTCTTCGTGAATTCTTCACACATGAAAACATAGAGGATGGGGTTCAGGCAGCTGTTCAGAAAAGCCAGACTCACAGTCAGAGGACCTATGATTCTAACAATGTTCCTGAGATCTGGGTTAGTTGAAGCTGGTTCTATGAAGTTGAAAACGTGGAAGGGTAACCAGCAGATGAAGAATGTAAAAATGATGGCGAAAATGATTCGACAGGATCTCTGTCGCCTTGTTCTCGGCATGCGCATTGCACGGATGCCTATGGCTACATAAGTCACAAGTATTACCAGGAATGGAATCACAAAGCCCATAAGAAAGCGAAAAGTATATAGACTCCATGTTGATTCCTTGCTTGTAAAATTATAGTGACAATAATGACTCCCATTGCTTTCTGAAACAGTGCGAAAAGTGGCATAAGGAGTGCTGCAGACCGCAGCAATCACCCAGATACCAACACATATGAGCTGAGCTTTGCAGACTGTGCGCTTGTTGTGGGCCCACACCACCATCCAGATGGACAAATAACGATCCAAACTCATCACCATCAGAGTAAAGATACTGGCAAACATGTTGACTACACTCACAAAGGTGTTGAGCTTGCACATGAATTGTCCAAAAGGCCACTGGTGACTCTGAGAGAGAGAAATGATTGAGAAAATCAGGAAGGCTGTGAAGAGAAAGTCAGCTATGGCCAGGTTGAGAAACCAAACTGTCTCCACTGTTTTCTGCATTTTGAAGCCTGTCACGTAGATAACCAAACCATTGCCCAGAGTGCCAACTATAAATATCACACAGTAGATGACAATAGAGGCTGTTTGTATGTGTCTGGAAGCTGCTTCCAGCCCAGAGGATTGATATGCAGCTGAACTGATGTTACCTAAAAACAAAACAAAAAAGTTCGTGAAATCATATCACCTTTCACCTGATGACATTTAAAAGAAATGCTAATATGTGTTTAAACGATCTCACCATTCCCCATGTTCCTTTTAGCTGAGAGAGTCTGTGTTTATTCAATGTTGAACTTGATCTTTTGCTGCTTTTATTTGCTCTTGTTACTCCTCCCCCTCAGATTATGCACCAGAGAACAGAAACACCTTTATGTTTCTCCACCACACCTCTACCCATTTTTCTAATTACACTAAAAAGGTTGGACAAACCTTAAAAGAGTAGCATTTATTGCAGTGCATTGTGTCTATGTTACATTTTCATTTAGTAACTCTTTGAGGATTTCAACACAAGATATCAAAACAGATAGAAGCATCAGGTGAAATATCAATGCTCTGTGGAAGGTGTGAAACTTGTAATCATGTGTTTTTGTCTTTTATAGGATCCCTATTAGCTGTGCTCTAAAGTAGAGTAATCCTTCTTGCATGCATTTGCTGCAGATTTTACATGTGTTTGCACATTAGTGATAAGCAATAGTTTCGTTTATCCAGTTTTGCAGGTAGGACTCACTTATGGATCAGCATGGATTGGCTTGCTGGGACTGTGATGAAGAAAAATTCTAGTTTATTCTAACATTCGGATTTAGGTGGTTTGAAATTCACCATAGAGTTTTGCATAGCCTTTATTTGAAGGTCAATATGACATGGTGTAGCATGCTCAACTATGTTATCTGCTGACTATATGAAAATTCCCAGGGAGGCCAGCGCCAGGTGCTTCTTAGAGAAAGATACTGGGAGTGGCTCTCTGCCCAGCAGCAACGCGGGTGGGAAAGAAACTCTAAGGTACAGGAGTTGTGTGTGTGAAGGTATAAAAGACGAGCTGCAATGTCCCAAAGACAGAGCTGTCGTGACTGTAGAACTGTGATGTTTGATTTGTGTCAGCTCTCCTGCATGCAATAATTCAAAAAGCTGGGCCACAGCTGATCATGTTGCAGACTTTATTAACAGAAAATTCCATCACAGGACCAAGAATGAAGTGGGAAGAGTCTGATGGCATATTATGTTTTTTTTTTACATTTATTTATTTTATTATGATTATTTTTAGCATTTCATTTGTGTAAGCAAAACTGTGCAAATGTTCATGTAAATGTACCTGCAGTTTAGTCTAGCCTCATCCACTGATGAGGAAATACCAGAGAAAATACTGATAGACGACAGCAGGCAAACAAGTAACACAGTGACGTCGCCTGAATAAAGATGTGGTAATAAACCGTACATAAAATACTCCCATTCTGCAATAAAGAAGATGGACAGGTAGCTGGTGGGTAGTAAATACATTCAGACAAGGGCTCGCATTTTAAGAGAGCTTTAATTCGTCTGGTGTTGTTGCTAAACCTGAAAATATACTTTATCTGAATTGACTCTTCATTGTAGGGGTGATCATATTCTTCCAGGATCCCACAGTGGACTGAAGAAAACAAAGAAGGTGTATTGTTATGGGACACTATAAGTGACTTACAATAGTCTGTATCAACTGCCATCCTGCAATAAAGAAGATGCATAAGCATCCAGAGGGCAAACACATAATTTTATAGTTTAATTTCTGAGTAATGTGAAAGATTTATTCTGTTTGCTTTAAGGTTGGCAGTGAATTGATTGTTGTGAGGTACATTTCCAGAGTGCTGTAGGGGTTCACCTGAAATTATGGACTTTGACCAGAAGGTGGCAAAATTGTAAAAGGCAGTGATTACTCCACGAAGATGTTGACAGGTATTGTTTTAGTTTTACCTTTGTTGTAGGTTGGGTTTGTGCTTGCTTTGTGTTTGCTTTGTGTCAAACTAGAGATTAATGGAGAATGAGGATGGTTGCTGTGTAGTAGTTACTAAATGTGTATGTAATTTGCTGAAATTTGCTCATGTACACAATTTAAAGTTACCATTCCATATTATAACAAGATGATGCATGTCTTGATTACTCTTCTCTTTGAGCTGTTGATGTTAATAGCCTATATTTGATGTGTGGGCTAGAGGCTGCCATCAGACACACTGCTCACCATCAGGCGAGGCAGGCAAATGCTTGGGGCACCAGACCACTGACAGGTCCTTGAGGGCTGACAAACTTTAAAGCACAGCAATGACAGTCCCCCCGGACCTGACAGCTGTCTGTAGCCCCAGGCAGATCCTCAAGGGCAGCATTTTACTGCCTTGCCTGATGGCAGGTACTTCAGAGCTAACAAACTTTAAAGTACAGCATTACCAGAATGCATGTTGTTCTGAAGAATGCGTTCTTCAGATGAACACATTTGACAAAAGTAACCCAAAGGTAATTGTGCATTTTTGTTTCAATGTTAGGATCCCCGTTAACTGTGATGTAGTACAGATGCTACAGATTCGTTTGCACATTAGTTGTAAGCCACAGGAGCTGTATTTCCCTTGGGCAACAGGCTTTGGTATGAGTTCCAATTGCAAATTGGTCCCAGCAGTGACCATACTAAAATGATGAAATGGAAAATTGGAGTTGTGTAACGTCACTTGAAATGGGAAACCCGGACCCCCCCTTGAGGCAGCCCTAGGATAGAAACTCAAAGACAATTATAATTTTTTTTAGGGCTAGGCAAAATTACCTGGTGACCTACCAATTGCTGGGAAAAGCATCAGGCTCAGCTGCATGGGAGGGGTCTTGCAGTGAGCCCAAGGGGCACTTAATCAGCATGTTTTATTCACAGGTTAAAATCTGTATAAAGGCAGTGTAGTGGATTCCAGTACTAATAAACATGGTTTAAAAAGCTTGAGGATGAAAAGTTACATTTGCAAATAAAAAAAATTATCAGCTAAAAACCTATAAGTTTTTTTTTTAAATCACATTATTTGTCACATTGATTGTTGTAGTCAAGAAATCAATAATTATAACCCAAAGCTTCAGCACAGTGTGGTACACTTTGCCCACTTTCAAAAATCCTCACAGACACTGGATATGAAAAACAACAAACCAAGACAGCTGTTTATAGTGTTTTTAGTGTGCTGTTTATCATACATATAACATACATTGAGAGATGGTAAATATGTAACCACGTGTTTTTGTTAGGCTCCTTCTTAGCTGTGCCATAAAGCACAGTATTCCTTCTTGCATGCATGTGTTGGAGATTTTGTATTTGTTTGCACATTGCACGTTATAAGCAATAGTGTGGTTAATCCAGTGTTGCAGGTAGGACACACTGATGATGGATCAGGACTGAGCAGGGGTGCATCAGTTTGTTTTACATAGCGAGGGCTTGCTAGGACGCACAATTAATGAGTCTAATGGAAAATGATGCCCCCCCTCCCATTTTTCTCTGGGAGATATTCTGGTTATGTAGAAGTGTTGGTTTTTTTGGTTTTGGGGTTGTTGTTTTTTTACATTTGTGTAGGCAAAACTGTGCAAATATTTATGCAAATTTAACTTTGGAAATAAAGTCACAGGTTTGTTCAGTCCAGCTCCAGCCAGTGACCACACATTTGGTTCAGTGGATGCTGCTGTTGGATAAGAGTAGACAAACAGATGAAGCACAGTATACCTGTGCTGAGGAGGACAGCTTTAGAAGTATGATGACACTGTTACACTTCTGGGAGTTGCAGTAGGGATCAAAGATGGCCTGAATGGGAGTTGGGGATAAACCACACATAAACCAGTCCTGTACTCTGATACATAAATGTATATAATTTGTGGTAATGACATTACTGATAAACAGAGCTTTGTGTTGTATTGTTGTTTACCCTGAAAATGTACTTGATCTGAACTGAATTTGATGTTTTAATGTACATTTCAAGTGTACTGTAGAAGTTCACCTGAAGTTTTAGACTTTGCTCACAAGGTGGCAGCACTGTAAAAGAGAGTGGGTACTCTGCCAAGATTTTGACATGTGCACACCACTCTATGTTAACTTCATGTTTGCTATAAGAGCTTGTGTTTGCTTTGGGTAAAGCTGCAGATGGTGGTGAAGTAAGATTGCTGTGTAAAGTAACTGGTAAATATGAATATAACTTTATGAATATAAATTTTATACATATCTCTGTACAATTTTATTTAGGCATAAGAACTTCGGTTGCTTATGTTTATAGGACCACTTTATGTCTATATTCCTCTTGCTATAAGAGCTATGTAACATTCATGGGATAATAAAGGTTTATTCTATTCTAATCTATTCTATAGTTTCCTGATATCCTAGTTTCCTGAAAAGTGCATAATTTATCAAGATTTTTCTTTAGCTCCTGGTGCTAATACACTGCATTTGACACTTGTACTAGAGGCCTGCCATGTCCTTACATGTGTATCACTATGATATAAGTGATTGTAAAACAAACTAGTGTCCTTTTCGACACTACAGCAAGAAATCCAGTCATTATGCCCTGTTTTTAACAATAGATACTAAATATTAAATGTTATTGTGCACCACGCAAGATAGAGAGCGCACAATGTGCTTTGCCAAGAAAGGTGTAGTTTGTGTCTGTGAACACCTGTGTGTACACCTGTGTGGATCAGCACGCTTGTATTCAAAAGGTTTCTCCATGTAACGATCTGCTAGGGAGTGTGGGGAGCCATAGCCCCGTCCCCCAGGGCATGAAGCAGGTATGGAGGAGATCAAAACTCCAGACATCCAGAGGACCCAGAGTATGAGGACCCAAGGAGGACCATCAAAGGGGCAACTGTGCCACCCTCCTGGGAAGAGCTGAGGAAAGCCCCAGACGAGGGGTCACCCAGCAGCCACAGAGCAGAGGCCAGAAGGGGTTGCAGTGACATGTCCGTGGGCTCTGCTGGCAGCCAGTGTGGAAACACACAAAAAACTGGAAACTGGAAAACTGGAAATGTGTTTGGTAAAAAAAAAACAGTGTTTAGGCATTTGAAATACAAATGGGGGAAAAAAGAAGCAAGCATGGCAGCCTGGCAGCCAGCTGTGCCAGAGAGGACCGAGCCCCAGGCCCAGAGGCCTAAGGGTGCCCCACCCCCAGAAGGGGCCCAGCCGGGCCACAGGCACCAGGCCCCGCCAAGCCGCCAACAGGAGTGAGCCGGTACATACATGAGCTCCCAGCCCCAGACACCAAGAACCACCGACGTCTGA